CTAAGGGGGGGGGGGGAAGCTTTGTCTTGGTTACTACGTCATTTTAAAATGTTTATGCCATGGTGCACAATGTGCTGTTTTATTGATTTTCTTAAGCATATTGATTTTTCAGCCATCAAATGTGATTAGGATTTTTTTTAGTGTGTGCACAGAAAAATATTTATCTACTGTTTATCTAGATTGCATGTTCTCCCATGTTGGTGTGTTGTTTAAGTATTATTTACTATTATAGTATTATTACTATTAGTACTAGTATACTATTATAGGTAACACTTTAGTTTGGGGACCAATTCTTACAATTAACTAACTATTACCTATGACTTTTGCCTCAAACTCCTAATTTGCTGCTTATTAATAGTAAGATAGTTGATAAGGTATGGCGTAGGATTAAGGGATCTAAAATATGGTCATGCAGAATAAGGTATTAATATATACTAATGAACAGCCAATATTGTATATTATATTGTTATATATATATATATATATATATGTATATATGTATATGTTAAGCATTATTTCAGTTCATTTCAGTTGGTTGCCAAGAAAACATTTCTACATTTTTAATTTTTTTTAATTTTTTATCTATAATTAATATCCCTTTTGTTGCCAACATTTAATTACCTGTAACAGAATCATTAAACATTCAAATTAAAGATGAGATTATTGAACAAGTATCAGAGGAAAAATATCTTGGTATGATTTTAGATTCTCAGTTAAAAGTTAAGTCATGTGAAAAAGTTGTGTAAAACAATGAAGGCAAATCTTACCAGCTTCAGAATAATAAGAAATTGTTTAACATATGATCATGCTTTTTTGTTTTTAAACTCGATGATATTATCAGATATGGTATATTGATTAGCTATTTGGTCTCAGACAAATCAATCTATAATTAATTAGATTGAATGTCTTTACAATAGAGCTTTGAAAATTTTAGATATTAGAAAGCAAGTAAGATACCATCATTGTCAGATCTTAAGTACATATAAGATTTTGAGTTTTGCTCACTTTGTCTTTTTCCACTGTGTAAAGATTGTGTTTAAATGTTTATTGGTTTTGCCCCTATGCAAATATATATATATTTTTTTAAAGATTGCAGGGGAGCAGCAGATCCACCAGAGCAGCTTCTGGTGGAAATTGTAAAGTTTTATTTTGTAAAACATCTTTTGCTCACTGTTCTCTCAGTGAAGGCTGTACAATTTTGGAATTCATTGCCTGTTTATCTAAAATCTGTTGCAAATGATAATAATGTAAAAAAAGCTGGAGGCTGAAGTTCAAGTTCAACCATCTAAACGTTTCCCAAAGGTAATGCTTCTTTTTCATATCAAGTTATTTCTTTTGTAGGATATATGCATCTTTTAGATCGGGTTAGCCTAAATTAAATAATTAAAAGTGAGAAAACACCCTAGTGGTTAAGTCAAACGGCAGCTCTTATAAGGTAACAGTCTTTTTCGCAAGTCCACTTGGTGTGGTGGAAAGTACTGAATTAACAAGTGTGTTTATTCCGTTAAATTCTCATTTAAAGAAAGCAACACCTCTTTCTGTTGCTACATTAGCTGGAAAAAAAAAACATGTAAGTGTCACTGCAAGCTATTTTGTGTCCAATATACTTTCACTTCATTTTCTCATACTTACAGTATGGAGCTTTGTCATCTCTGAGCCAATTCAGAAGGAAGCATGAGTATTATGCAAAGGCACGTGAGAGGAAGTCTAATAATTGTATAGAGGCCATTCTGATCGGTTGACTTACTTGAAGCAGTAGGCAGTGGTGAGAGGTTTCAGAACCCCCTGTGTCTGGCTGTGGTCTGTCCTGTACAGAGGGTTTGTGTATTCAGCCCTGTTCTCCCACAGGTGCGGCCACAAAGAGTGCGTTCGCTCCTGTAACCTGCATAGTTCACAAAGAGGGAGGCTGAATGAGTAAACTAGCACATATAGGTAATGAAACCAAGATGGTCCAACAGTTATAATGAGAAGGTACATTATGTTTGGAACTAGATTCTGTATCAAGGGCTTACCACAACCATAAAAAAATATATATATCTGACCCTCATATTCAATATGAGGGTCAGAATATTGAATGCTGCAGATGGTTACAACTTAAATTGAATATTCAGTCAAATCTGTTTTGTCATTAGTAAAATGTTTTGGATATTGCTTGAGATGAGAACCCTTTTTTGAAGTAGGTATACTATTGGCATGTTTATCTGGTCCACTTTGGAGGTTAGTCTGGTGATCAACTGCCCACTTAGACAGGAAAAGTCCATCTAAACAACATTTATAAGGGATGAACCATATAGTTCTCATTTTGCTGATTTTAGTAATACAGGTTATTTCTCTGACCAGTTACTAGTTCTTCTTTAAGGCTTCCACGCCAAGACGTGTATTGACCTATTTTCCATGTTACTGGCACCAGTCGGACCTTCATTAGTGGCTTTTCGGCCAATTGAGCATGTTAAATTGGCGTCGGAGCCCACCGATGTGAGAGATCACTCTGATTGGCTGCTCATCTTAGAGAACCAGTGTAAGAGAAGAAAACGGAAGTGATGAAAGCAAGACTTTCCCTGCATCCAAATATGCCAACTTCCCTACTATATAGCAGGCAAAAACAGTATGTGAGGCAAGAAGTATGTCTAGTTTTCATAAAACAACAGGTGAAAGTACTTGGATGACCTACTAAGTGTATATCTGATGAACTCTTTACTATCCCATGAGGCCACAGAAGAGGAGTTGTGAATGGCAGTGAAGCGACACAACGGATGCTGGTAGATCACATGAAAGTGACAACATGGCGGACATAGTACGTCCACATTTTCATACTACCATATTCATACTATATAGACAGTGGCAGATTTAGGCATGGGTGACATGGGCAAACGCCAAGGGCAGCATTTTGCCAGGGGCGGCACAGGGTGACAATATGTCTCTGTGTGGGCCAATTAACCTGGTCGGGACTCGTGTGCATCAGGAACATACTTTTTAAACAGTTTTGTAGTGCCTACCAGACAAAATGTGATTTTAGATGCAGCTTTGTGTAATTGTGTGTATCCCCAGTCGGTGAACGTGATTTCACCAAGTACAACATGTTCCTGGATCAACATCCATGTTGATCCTGGAACAACATTCCAATCAACCAATCAGAATCGAGGTATACGTTTTCAAGAAATGTCAGTTTTAGGCTTACAATCTGGGTTAGATGCTTCTACACCCTTGTTAATCAGCTATCATTTCCCTCTGATTTTAGGAATAAATTATGGGTAGGGTTTGGTTTAGGGGTAGGTATTGGGTTAGGTCTATATTTCTGGACACTAATGTTGATCCAGGAACATGTCTTACTTGGCAAAATCACGACGACCCAGTCACAGTCCTAGCTCTTCCAGTTTTCCTTTTTTGAATGACAAATACTGAATACTGCCACCTTCTGGTATGGAGAGTTATTTCCTCTCACGTAGAAAGTACATACTAGTTGGCCGTTGACTTGTGTTCAAGTGCAACTTTTTGGTCCAGACACAGGTGACGTGATGTGACACCAAAATCGGTTTGGTGTATCTAGGGATTTAGGAGCTCTCATAATATCAACCCGGTATCCTTAAAACATGATTTTGTTTCCTGGCTGGATCTTGCCATTTTGTGGACAGTATGCCAGTAAACAGACTGTGGTCCATCTATACTAGTACATCTATAACCAGCTCAGTTCAAAAAGTAGTTGATTTCTAGCCGTTTGCCTACATACATACACTGACATGTTGAGCTGCAGGTGCTCAAGCAGCTGGTGCGAGTAGAAGCCTGTTCCCCCCCTCTTCTCTCTCAGCAATCCATATTCAGAAAAATGGCAAAATGTGTTTGTTACCTCAAATCTCTTCTCTCTTTCTGGCAATTGCCGATGAAGTTCCCGTACTGGCAGGAGTATATATGTGTGTGTAGCTGTATGAGGAATCGCTCATTGAACTCAAACGCACAGGGGAACTGCTGCATCAGCTGCCACACACATTCCAGAAATTGGTCCATGACTGGAGAAACCTCCTTAGGGTCACCGTCAAGGTGAGCGTACCTGTAGAACATTTTATTAATAAATGAAGATAGTAATGATAGTTAAACATCCAAAATATCTTGTCATCATCATTTAGCCTTATTCAATTCCAAACCTTTCTTCTCTCAGATTTTATTTGCACTTTTGGATATTCCAATTTAGTGTGTCACATTACAAAACCAGCAAGAACCGGTGGTTTGGTGTCACTGACATCACACCAAGACATGCCAAGTTTGAATATGCGCATAGGCAAATTACTTTTGATCAGTGAAAAACAATTTAAACATGACACAAAATTAGCGTATGACTTTAGAAGACTTCGAAGTCACTGTAAGCTTTTGCTATATGGAAAAAAAGCAGCTTGAACATTCTTGAAAATTTCTCCTTTTATGTTCCATGTAAGAAAAGGTTCATATTTGTTCACAAATGTTCATTCTTGGAGCGTAGAGGCTCACCTAAAGCTTAGAGACGCAGAGTTAACATTGTACACTGCATGACTGATGGTTTAGTCACAGTATTTGCTATGGATTCAAGAATGAGGCCTTTCTGGTCTCGCATGTTATTCATACACAACATACACAGTAGAGGATATTCACAGAAAGCTTCAATTCAAGGAACAAAAATTAACTGCAAGTTGTACGTGGTGTCCAACATTTGAGGCCAGAAACAAGCAAATTGAAATGAAAAACACAAACCTGTGGGAAAACTTGTGTCCAAATGATACCCAGTCCTTCTCAAACAGAACCTACAAGGAATGAGACTTGTGTTCAAATACTGGCAAATCATATGTTACATATTTAGTCTCAGATGATGTTGGACTATAGCACTGATTTGAAAATGGATCAAAGCAAAATGGATCGGTCATAATCATCGTTATTATTACCATCAGTCCTTTGATAGTTCTGTAGTATGGATCTAGTAGTACACTAGCCACCGAACAGGCCTGAGCTGTTCTGTCCCAGCCGTCTGAACAATGCACCAGAACACTCACTCCATCCTCTGCCACTGCCTGGCAACACAGACAGGAATGGAAGAATGCATGTGTGATTATATCAATCATACTGTATTTGTACTTAAGTTTTCTACTTGTGTTTTTTTGGACATGCCATGTTTTTAGACATGCATTATCAATGAATTTTTGTGATTTTCCATGTCCATTCTAATCACTTCTGATAACATAGCATGGCTTTTTAAAAATCATCTTTAAAACTTTTTTAAAAGTCTTGCCTTTGCAATAAAGATGCCAGCATCTAGTACAGCTTTGATGTGTTTTAGCCACCCAGAGTTCTCCAGACCCCACAGGAAATCACTCATTGAGGGAGCCGCGAGTTCGCCAACTGCAAGACAGAAAAGGTTCATTTTCCATATGGACAGCAAGTGAACACCAGACAAGTATCTGCTGGTATAAAAGTAATAAGGATTAATCGGTCTACCATCTATAAGCTTCTGTTGGCTGTTCCTCATGACATGGATGTTTTCTATGCCAATGAACTGCAGTTTTGTATTAGTGTAATGGTCTTCATTCTCGTAGCCTTTCCCCGCAGCACGATTAGCCATGGCATTTAGCTGGAAATAATTACAAACAGTGTTTCAAAGTCGCAATACTGCTGGTATTTATGATTATTTACAAGATATCAACATTATATTACAGTATAGTTCATTATAATAATTGGAACTTCTTGAAGTTATATGCACCAGGCCAAAGCCAATAATTTTTGGATATAGGCTACTACCATTTAAAAGTTTGGGGTCAGTACAATTTTATTTATTTTTTTTATTTTTTTTGTAAAACAATTAATACTTTTATACAGCAAGTATGCATTAAAATA